GTCTAACCCAGGATGATCAAAACACAATTGTGCTAATGCATGTTCAATAAAAACTTTTGACTTGGTAATTGGTTTGGCAGAAAGTCCTCAAGTTTAAATCGTGTCTTCGTTCGATCTTTTTCGAACTCAGATAAAACCAAACAAAACATTGAACCTCAATTAATACTGTAATAACAAGCGCAATTCACTCCTGTTAATACTGGAATAAATTATCCTTCTGAAATGTTTTCTTACTAGTCCTTCAAATCCACTTTTCTTTTCTTATAAACAAAAAAAAAGTGACCACCACAATTTCATAGTTAACTAAAATCTCATTCTCACATTAAGGTAGGAAAACAGATCAGACATCTAGGCTTTTCCTAAACTCAGGCTACACCTAACAATCATTTCTTTTCTTTCTTTTATTTCTTCTTTGCAGAAACGATAGACCCATTTTCACGTGCGAGAATGCAAGGGAAAAACGAAACATAATCATTTAGTTTAATCTCCATAGCTGGAAAACACTTCAAGGCTCAGTCACAGTTGGTTAAACAAGCATGTTAATGAACTTACCAGTTCTAATCCTACAATTATGTCAACATTTCCAGTGGAATCCTTCTCCTCACCAATATATCGCACAGTTCCTCTGGCTGGACTATCATTAATAAATGTCACAACTCTGTCACCAGTCTTAAGCACTCCATCAATTCCTTCAAATGACCTTTGCTCAGACTTTGCCTTCCAAAATGACAATATTGTATCCTTAAGACCTGACTTAGATTTAGCCTGAATATTTTCGTCTCCTTTTGCAATTTTTGAAGATTTCAAGTCATCTCCATCTCTTCTAGGCCTCAATTTGTCCAGTCCAACAAAAACCGCAGAGTCTGGCTCACAGGTAAAGTATCGCTTGTTTCTATATGTTCCATCGCATGTTCCTGACCCTGGATGATTCTAGATATGTTTAACCACAGATCATAATCATTAACATTGAAGATTATTGTCATAATTAACCATCATTGTAACTTTCATCATTATCATTACCATGGTTGCCATCATAATCAATGAAAATTTTATCCTATACCCACTGTTCAACATCCAGTGTAAGACATACATGTACTAAGCAGGATTACAAAATCTTAACAGTAAACAGGAAATATTCTTAAATAGAGATGACACCTTCTGCATGACTGTTTGAAGGTCAAGTTTTACAATTACATATCTTTTCTGAACTTTTCTAGAGATTTGATGACAGTTACGAAGTAGAAAAATCTATAAATCCAAGTTGTTGGCAAGAATTAGCTTATTGAATTCTTGAGATGTTCTTTCTAAATGATAGTCAGTTTATTTCCACTAGATCTTACCACTGTGAATCTAAGAATTTCCTTTTAACTACATGTAGCTGCTCCTTGCTGCTAATCAATATACAAAACTTCATGGTGCAGTGATAATAAGATACTTGGGTTTGATGGAGAAAATTGTCTATGCCTTAAAATTCAACATTCACCCGTTTCAATCAAAACACTTGTCATTTTGAAACTTAGAGAAATTGTTTTTCAAACTGAGATGAAAGTTGTTTTAGTAGATGCAAATTGTTTGCAATTGTAGGTCACCCCCTCCTTACAACAAGAGGAGGTTTTTACTGAATAGGTGCCAAAACAGCTCAAACAAATGTTGGAGCTGTTTCAACAGACACTTAAGCTGCTTAAGAAGATGTACTAGTTTGAATTGCTATTTTGAATTACTGAGAATCTGCAAGCAAACTGAATTCTGTTTGAAATCTAAAACCTGTGGTTGTGTGTTTTTCTAAAGCAGGTCACAAATGTCACCTCATGAAAGTGAAAAGGTTGTCGCAGATGAAACTATTTTCATAGTTTGCTGTATTAATTAAGGGTGTTGAAAGTAAACAAAATCATGAATTTTCCTTAGTCTTTAATGTCTACTTTCCTTGGAGACTCTTAGACTGAAGGGGAGATTTAAATCATTCATTCAGTGGTATGTAATGGTAAAACTTTCCCTTCAAACAGTGATGTGCAAGGTGTCATCTCTATTTAAGAAGAATGTCACGTTTTCTGCTAAGATTTTATAATCCTGCTTTCTTGATGGTATGGTATCCAGTACCGCTCACGAAGACGTTAACCGAAAAACGCGAATTAAACGCGCCAAAATCGCATGCGAATAAAAAAAAACCGTGCGCGTCAAAAAATCGCACGTGCGCGCACGACCTTGAAATATCGGCCTCATTAGTATGCACGAGATGGTACTTTTCTATTGTTGGCGGTTTATTGTTTTCAAGAATAGGCCACAATGTAGTAGTACTAAAATACTACACGGCTACCAACGACAAGCAAAATTGTTCGTTGCAATCGCCGTTCGAACCGACCTTCCCAATATGCTGTTACCAATGCGACTTCGTAACCGGAATATATAAATGATTTATCATTTTCCTACGGAATTCATTTATCAAAATAGCAATTTCTCACCTCGTAGATAGATACATCCGTCGCAACAGCCTGGGAATTTGTTCAAAATAAATTTAGTCTCAGTGTATCGTAATGCGGTAGAATCTTCTAAGGCGCCTGTTTGTAACCAGTTGTCGCGTTCTAAGTGCAAACCCACGCCCGAATGCTCATTTCATAGCTTTTGTCATCGGTGAACACGCTCTTCTCGAAAACTCGCCATTTATTAATAAACTGATCAGTTCTACTCGCTTATTTTAATGGTGTTGTGTTACAGTATGATTACCTGTCACGACCACGTCTTGCTCTGACGCGTATGCAAATTTTTAAGAGAAACCGGATTTGCTTTTTGTTTCGATATTTGTTAAATCATTGATCGATGTTCACCAAATTGCTCGAAAGATGGGAACGGAAAATTTTGCAGCAGGATACATGTAGTTCAAGTTTGTTTAAGACTCGCCGGCGCGTGCAATGTGGGAAAAACATCAATACCATGGGTTGATGACAGATTTTAGAGTCTGTTTTGAAACATCTTAACATTATTAAGAGACGCTTACATAATATGAAACTGAACGGTAGTCTGTTGAAGCCTATTTGGTTTTTAGGTGAATTTTCGTCTTTGACATTGCGATATACTAAATCTTGACCTTTCATCGTTGTAATATAATAAGCTCCGCAATCAAACAAATCGTCAAGAGCGATGCGAAATGAAACTGTTTACATTCCTATGCGTAAACACTGAAGCGGGCACCGATTGCAAATGAATGACACAGAACATCATTCACAATCTTAAAAAGTTTATTTTCCTTCTGATCTCCATCGAAGGCGATCGAGGTACGTTCGAAGTTTCGAAGAAATCATCACCTGCGATGCAAACACCAGATTGTTTACATTCCTCGACGTAACATCTTAGGGAGCGCTGATTGCAAGGAATAAATTGGGAAGCATATAAGTGAGTATTTGTTTCGTTACTCGCTCAATGAAACACGTGTTTCGATGCCTTGAGTAAGTGAAATTTTCCTTCCCAGCTGATTCATCAACAACTCAAATCAAGCAAGTCTACTGCTACTGCTCGCTATTCAATAAATTCGCGAAGCGACGCAATATGCGTGAGTGTAACATGATAGCTTTTTTCATTCTAAAAATTTTCCGTTGTCTACTCGCTGCTCTTTCAAACCTTAAAGTTCTCTGTTTCACTCAACAATGTAATACAAGGGGAAACTTGTAGCACTGAATAACAAAGGCACATGACCATGACCATGCGCGCAAAAAAATCGTATTTACGAGTCTGACTACCCTGCGTCTGAGCGTATGAAATTCGTCTGCGCAGTTAACGTATACGCGAGCGGTACTGTACGTGCATGTCGCACACTAGATGCCGAATAGTCGGTATGGGATAGAATTTTTCATTGATTATGATGGCAACCGTGGAGATGATGCCATGTTGAGTATTACTTTCCTGGCTTTGACTAGCAGAATCTCGCTAAAAGCTCACAAATGAAAGGTCAAGAGGAAGAACAATGGCTCTCTGTCATTTTTCTGAATTGTAAACTTCTTAGCTATCTTGGTGAAAAAAGATGGAAAACAGCTTCAAAATTCACTAGAAAGCAGAGTGACAGTTTCCATGCTAATTGGCAAAACTTAACACAATAAGAATTTTCTTTTGAATCGTTTTTGTTCTTTATGAAAAGCACACAAAAAGGAATCAACAACATTGTTTACTGTTAAGTTATAAATCCTGGAAAGGAAGTCTATGTCACATGATTTTGTCCATACTGTTCAATCAAGGGAGGTAAATTTTCAAAACAATACAAGTGTCTTTGGATGTATATACCCAAGCCCATCAAAACTTATGAGCCTACAACAAAAACAAAACCGAAATAGTGTCAATAAAGCATTTAAATCTTCCCTTCAGTCTAAGAGTCTTCTAGGAGGGTAGACATTGAAGACAAGATTCTAAGGGTTGAAGTCAACTTTACTAAGTCTGAGTAGGATGCCTATGACCCCCCCCCCCCTTTTTAAGTCTTTTTTTTAATATCACATTGAGTAAAAGACAGCTCAGAGGTCGATTTGCATTTTCCTATCTTTACCCTTTAACTACCATGAGCCACAGAGACTCTATGAGCGAGTTCTCAGTGGCTCAGTGATAGAGCATTATCATTATCATCACCATGGTTGCCATCATAATCAATGAAGACTTTTATCCCATACCGACTATTCGGCATCTAGTGTACAACATGCACGTATACCATACTATCAAGAAAACAGGATTATAAAATCTTAAGAGAAAACATGATATTCTTCTTAAATAGAGATGACACCTTGCACATGACTGTTTAAAGGGCAAGTTTTATCATTACATACCACTGAATGAATCATTTAAATCACCCCTTCAGTCTAAGAGTCACCTAGGAAGGTAGACATTAAAGACATTGAGATACTCACGAGATGTAAAAGCAAGCTTAACTCGATGTAACATAATACTTTTGTTGTGTTGGTGTTAGAACGAAATTTACACGTAAATTGTTACAGCCAACAACGCGACTTAGCTGGTGTTCTAGTACTTACGATGAGTTCAGCTCCAAACCAAGTTCCTTGACTTTGCGGTAATACACCTATGTACCGAACAATACCAGGTAAAACTTTTGAGATTCCTTCCACTTCAACGAAAACATCACTTCCGAGTGACAATTGTCGGCCAAATGCAAGACGTTTCCTCTCCATATACGTTTGATATCTTGCTTCATATGAAGTTATTGCTAAAAGCAAGTCGGTTTCTTCCTTAGATAATCGACTGATATCGTCCACAGGACATTCAAGACGTAGTGATTTACGTTCAATTCCAACAACAGCTACTTTAGTAGAGTTCATAGGCTGGTTAGCCTTTCGAACACCTTCTAATAACTCGCCTCGCAAAACTGGCGCTGGTGTAGACTTCGCCGTTAAGCCGAGTGTAAACATGTTATGTTCAACTTCGCGTGCGACATGATCACGCAGAAGAATATACTTAATACTGGATTCTTCCATTTCGTGCCGAGGATACAGGAATGACGATTTCACCTTTACCGTAAACAAACCAGGTATTGATCTTGATGAAAAGGGAGACTAGCGACTAAATACGGGAGTGGCTCCGACCTATGATTGGATGATAAAAATAGTAAAAGTTTATAAGTTATAGTTTATAGTTGTATCTTAACTCTTTGCTCGTGAGTATCGTTAACCGCGTGTCTCGAAGCGGAACAGTGAAATATCAATGCGAGTGAAAACACCGATGTGTCAAACAAGAAATGGTTACTAACGTAGCGAGGGAAGGCAGCCTTTCTTGTTTAGCGAGGTCGTTCAGCGATATTGCTGCGATGAAAAAGTCATCTGCTGACTAGCTCCGCTGACTAAACTCATTCAGTCAGTTCAGGAGGACGACCAGAGTCTGGAACCATTCTTGTATTTCACCGTTGACGGGGATGCTCCGACTTTAACGTTTATTAATTTTTTAAAAATAATTTTTAATAATGTTTTAAACGATTAAAAATAAAAATTAAAAATTAAAAACTAAAATAGTGAGCAGCACTGTGCGAACAGTAGTTGTAAAACTTCTTTATTCTCTGACGCGTTTCGTCTAACTGTCGTAAACTTCTTCAGGGAGTTTTACAAGTTAATACCAAACGCCTATATTTATAAGCCATAGTTAGCGGCTGTTGCGTGGGCCAATGACCGTAAGGGCTTGGCTGGACCTACGAGCAGGAATAGGCAAAGTTGTGAAAATTTGAAAATTTCTTTTGAAAATCTTTTTTCCTTCTTTAGGCAAGGTGAGAGCCACGTTTTAGCTGAAAATTTAAAATTTGAAAAACTGAAGAGGTTTTTTTACAGATGATGCCTGGAAAGCAGTTGGCAAATGAGGTTAGGATGGCTCGTGTACTTTACAGAAAATGTGGTTTATGTTGTACTTATTCTTTCTTAAATTTAAGTGGCATAAATACCTTGTCTAAAACAGTAGTGTGATAAAATAGCAAACGATATATATGTGTTCCAGCACAGCGTCATGTGATGAACAGCCTTCACTAATTTTAGAACAAGTTTTATAAAATAAATGTACTCTTTCTTGTTATATAGAAAACTGTTCGAAGATTGGTTGTGCCATCGCTGCAAACAGTCAAGGTACTTCGATATGATTCAGTGCGAGAGCTACTGCCACTGGTTTGACTGGTAAGACGTTTTCTTTTGTTTAATTTGTTTTTTTTCCTTTTTTAGGTCTGGTGGAATTAATCCGCAACTTTCTTCCTTTAAGTGTTGTGCAAAAACAGTTGAAGAGCCCGATGAATGGATTTGTCCTTCATGCGAACAATTACCTAGAAAATCAGTTTTCCACGAAAAAAACTCCCTCGACTGCGGCTAAGCCATATTTCTCCAGCAGAGCATACTGTAAATTAAAAACATTGGTCGCAGCGTCACGCAACATTGCGAGATTTTCCAAACGTGACATGCAGTTGCTGCATTATTTTAAAACTTGGAAACTACACGGTCCTGTAGTAATAAAAGAGGGCTTCATTTGCAAACATTGTAGAGTTCAACATAAGAAGAACCAAGTAAATTGCTCTTTCTCTTTTTCTCTCGGTGTATAAATTATTTAGCCAGAACAAATAAAAATATATATACGCATGAGTTGGAGCCATTCCTGTCAGCGGTGAAATACAGGAAAAGCCCCAGTCTCTGGTCGTCCGCCTAAACTGACTAAATGAGTTTTGTCAGCGGAGCTTGGCAGCGGATGACTTTTTCATCGCTGGAATATCGCTGAACGACCTCGCTGAACGACCTCGCTGAACGACCTCGCTGAACAAGATAGACTCTGCCTTCTCTTCGTTATGTAAGTAGCCATTTCTTGTTTGACACATCGCTGTTTACACATTGATGTTTCATTGTTTCGCTTCGAGACACGCGGTTAACAATACTCACGAGCAAGGAGTTAAGATATAACTTATTAACTTTTACTATCTTTATCATCCAATCACAGGTCGGAACTATTCCTGTATTTAGTCGCTAGTAAAAGGGAGGAAGTACGCCATCTTTCTGGATATTTCCCTGGCCTCGATGTTATGAAGAATAGGTAAATATTGTTAAACAACATCACGTCATCTCCTAAGAAAATTCGGTCTTTACTTCGGACGTGCCTCTTCTTATTCCTTGTCGTAAGGGGTTTGATCTGGTCTGTACCTGATTTCGACTTCTAATGAATACTTTTAGATCATTCTACACCAACACGTCTTCTAATTAGTAAAAGAAAGTTCGTTTTGAAAATGTCACTTGACCACGTGTCGCTGGCCTATTGTGATCCTTATCTGTTGTGTGGGCCCGGGGTGAGGAATTTGAACCGAAAGTGTCAAGTCTGTAGCGGAATACACCTGTTTTATAATTAATAGAGAGATGTTTGAAAGTGAAAAGTTCACTTTCGTGAGAAGATGGCTCAGAAGTAAGGGTCTGTCAGAAAGTCAGGGGCCTCCAAATCGAGGAATTCGGTAGTTTCTTTTAATCTTCTAAATCAAATACAGTTATTTGCACCTTACAGTCTCTTTAACTCTTCTGATTGCTTTCCGGTCACTTTTAGTGATGTTTGCCGGAACTGTGTTGGTGTACGTGGTGCAACAGACCATCAAGAATGACCTTTACAGTGTTGTTTCGAAGAGGCGAGCATCGAACAAAAAGTCAAAAGTAATCCAAAATAAAACCTTCACGATCGGGAAGCCTGTGGTTTGCTTAATAGAAATACTCTTGAAAAGCGAAGAACAAACTCTTTTGAGTAAAGTGAGTTCCTTGGCTTTTATCATATTATCATATGAGGGTCGATAATTACTGTAATTATTTCCAAAATACTACAATTGGAGAGAAAACTAACTGACTTTCACTAATAACATTAGTTAAATGAAATAAAATAACGCGTCCGCCTTTGTTCATGGGCAATAATGACTTTACAAAGTTGATACAGCGATCTAAACAGCGTATACAACCGCACAACCTTTCCCGCTATTTTATCCTGAAGGTCTACATTGAAGTCTAACCCTAACCAAATATTATAAAATATATTAAAGGAGCGTGGGCGGAGTTAGTATGCCAAGCCTCCAAACAAAGGCGCTGGTGGTAACGCAGATTAGTGGTAATAATTTTAGAATTATCCCACCCAATTGTATGGTTAGTTAGGCATGTATGCTCCGATAAAGCTGAATTTTCCTTTTTGCAAAGGAAAACCGCTTTTTGGTGCTCTTTTAACCGTGTACCAAACTGACGTTTGGTCCGTCCGATGTATTCATTGTCACAGTCATTGCTAGGAATAGTATAAATGGCGTCGGTTCGTTGTTCTTTCTTTTGCCAAAAAAAGTCTGTAGCCAAAACTTTACTTAGGAGGGCTGACTGTCTACCACCTTCACTCGATTCGAGGGCTGAGGAGAGGAAATATGTTACCAATGTCCTAAAGGCAAATGGCTATACAAAAACTTTTCTCCGTAACTGCCAAAAACCAGTTACAAATGGTAGCGCTCTTGATGAAAGGGAACCAGCGACTGGTTTTGCTGTTATTCCTTACATACAGGGTGTTACGGAACCCATCAAGAAAATTTTGAATAGCCACAACGTTAAAGTTGCTCAAAAACCTTTTCAGACTTTGGGGCATATTTTCGCCAAACCTAAGGATCCTGTCACGAAAGAAAAAAGGCCGCTAATTAGTGATCATATAAAAGGACCTCTTGTTGGAGCGTTTAGATCACCCCTGATGAAGGCACTAGACAGGAGTGTCAAAACGTTGGGTCTATGAATTGTAACTTCTTCGGTTACATTCATTAAATTTGCAAACCAGAGTAGCATCAAACCATGTCCAAATATTATAAATTGAAATTAAGTCAGCGTGTCTTGCACGCCTTTACAAGATCATACAGCTATTTCAACCATCATGTAATACAAGCGAAATATTTATTTTGCGTAATAGGGACGTATCCAAGACATGCTTAATTGAACTGGCGAGCTACATATTCCCATTCTGTATGCTGATGAACTGTAGGTAAGCAGGTAGTATAGCAGACTGAATTCCTCTCTACAAAACACTTAAACTAGTCCGTATATAACATTATTAAAGGCTTGGTTTATGTGTGGTTGTGAGTTCATTGAGATATAAAGCCCTTAGAAAGTTTCGAGAGTACTCAAGAAGATTAAGTCGTTCTTGGCGGCGCCTCAAGCAACCTTTACTCATCTTTTGTGCTCCCGAAACTACCTGCTCGTTTCATAACTCGATGAATACACGCTGACTCAAGAACCAGTCACCCGATGAGAAACTAATCGACACTTCGCACACTTCGCTATACAATCAGGAGAACATTTTCCCATAAACTACCTCTTGATCATCTCTGTGAAATTTTTTCCCGTGGACTTCTAAAAAACACGTTTTGTTAAAAAAAGAAAGCACCATGTGACCATTTGTGATCCGAATAAAACGCATTTAAGCCTATATGAATTTTCTACTTTCGAAGCGCCTGGAGTGTGATCCTAGTGCTAGCCCTCTGAAAAAGAACCTGTACTGAGATATTTGTCAAACTTTACCCATTGGTTGTTTACCTTGTAGGAATATAAATTTTGAAATAAAAAAGACAGGTCCCAGTTTTCGTTTAGGAGCAGCATTACCTAGTATACGTACCAAATAATTACTAAAATATCTTGAAAATTATAGTTACCAAATCTGACTACATTCGTGTTTCCAAAAATTGAGTTCCTTTTTGCGCACGGAGAATTAGTTTATATTTATTTCACGTATTGAAACTTATTGCCCAACTCAAAGGGAGAGAAAAAAAAGGTTGATCAATCTGCTCGTTTGAAGAAAGTGACAAGTCACTTCTCTGATGAGCACTGAGGAGAAAGAAAAAGCCACCCGAAATTTTCTAATTGCGCGCAGTGGTCAGGTGTGAAATCATGCGCAGTAAGGATGTATAATGTAATATTACGAATGATCTGAACGTGCATAATGGGCATCAAACCAATCGCGCGCCATTGAT